TCCCGAGTCAAAAAATTGGGACTCATTTTGTCCTCATTTGATCTCAATAGAATTTTTAGGGATATTTCAAACTACAAGACTCAAAAGTCTCATTTTATCCGCGGTTTTCCCGTATCAGGACAAAATGAGACTTTTGAGGAGTAAAGATTATTTAGGAAACCTCATTTTGTCTTCAAAAAGTCTCATTCTTTTCTTGTTGAGGTTAAATTGAGGACTATTGCCATAGGATTGCAGACATTGAGAATAAAATGAGACTTTTTAGAATCCAATGTGATGAGTCTTATGAAAACTTATTGAGGTATCTGAGATTAAAAACGTCTAAATGAGGAAAAAATGAGTCTAAATAGTTCATTTGAGGATAAAATGAGTCCCAATTTTTCGACTCGGGGATGGTAGAACACAAATGTAAATTTTATAGAAATGGAAGTCAGTCTCGAGATAGTAATGATTTGATGAAAAATACAAATAAAACTGCTGGCGAAAATATTTTAACTGATAAAGGTGTAAAGCGATATGATTGCTACTGCCAAAATTCTGAATTATCTCATGGAATTAGCAACGAACGAGCTCGAGTGAAGTATCAAACATTTTAGACAGCATGCCTCAGAACAGAATCAATTCCGTAATGTTAGTTCTTCTTCCTGTACCATGATACATGCTTAAAAAATATCGTATTAATGGATACATGCGCGACAATCAACCAATTAACCCCATAGCAGTGAACAATTAATATTATTCCAATTACAAGGGATTGGAATTAGCAACGAACGAGCTCGAGTGAAGTATCAAACATTTTAGACAGCATGCCTCAGAACAGAATCAGTAATGTTAGTTCTTCTTCCTGTTCCATGATACATGCTTAAAAAATATCGTATTAATGGATACATGCGCGACAATCAACCAATTAACCCCACAGCAGTGAATAATTAATGATCTGTTGATGTAGATTTGCGTATTTCTGGAGAACTACGTTTTGAAATATAGGTGATGTCCATGCTCAGTTTGACGTTTTGTTAAACTCCTATAATATTTGGAGTAAATGAGATAAATAAAAATCAGGCAGGAGAATTCAATTGAATTATTTACCACTTAATTGTCAAAATTCGTTTGCCAGAAATAAATAACGTAAATTAAGGATGGTAATCGAAAAATGATAGGTATTTTAAATGAGAAAACCAGAAGTCTAAGGGATGAAATATTTCACCTTTCTAAATTTTACCGCCTTAGGCCCTGATGTGTCACTATCTATCCTTATTAATCATTTCCAAGTAGTTGCTCTATTGTGACAATAAGATCAATAAAATTAGTTTTCCTTATTTTAACAAGAAGACGGATTTTGGAACCTTTACAATTTATAAATTCGCACAATTTCGGTGAACATTTTTTATTACTTTTAATGGTATTTTTTAAAGCCTGAGTCACCAAAGTCTGTAGTACTTGCTGTTCTACAGGACAGTCAAGTTGCCCCTTATCTACATAATTTCCATCGAAATTGCTAATTTTTATCACAGTAGTCACTCTTAGGGTTGATTAAAAACACAGTCAAAATCCAGCATTAAAATCAATTTTAGAGTTTCCCATTATAAGAACGGGTACTTCTTTGAGTATAACACATAGGTTTACTACTTTCTCAAACACGTAACCTAAAGGAAAAATGAAACAAAAACTAAAATGTATTATGACTTATGTATTTTCCAAAAGTCTGACAAAATACAACAAATTTAGTACAGTTATAAAGTTGGTTTATTTTAACATAACAGACAAAATGATAATTAAGTTACTGTTAGGAAATTCGAAATAGCAATAACATTATTAACAGAAAAGTAACATAACAGACAAAATGATAATTAAGTTACTGTTAGGAAATTCGAAATAGCAATAACATTATTAACAGAAAAGTATAAATGTTCCATCATACTGAAGTATTTGATTGTGATTTTGCTATTATTGCTTCGTGTGCATCGATTGTTATGTTTCCTGCTGGCAGAGTATCCCTGAAAACCATAACGAATCTAGTTTAATAACTTTGAATCTTTTGTGAGTCAAAAATTCTACATATAAATGATTAAGCCTGAAGGCATTACTGGTTGAAACATTATAAATAATACCTACTGAATTAAATAAAGTATTCAATTTTGCATATCTCACCCTTTGTTTCTTGATGAGTTGATACTGGAGAGAACTACTGTTACATTTTCACTGACAGACTTAAACGAAGATAGTGACACTGAAGTAGGATAATTTCCCTTATTAAATATAAAAACGTAGGTGTCGTTCCCATCCAACTCTCTCGTAAATGCCAAAACATAAGTGGCTAAAGCCTCTACGTTCAAATTTCCATNCGCGCGTACTAACAAAGGCTAGAGCCTTATTCGCTTGAGGGAATCTGAACCGTCATGGAACTCCTGGGAGAGATGAACAATTAAACAATTTTACATTGATACTTAGATAACGATAATTTTCAGAGCGCCTTAATTATTCATTGTTGTGAGATAAATAACTTATCTGTTATATTGCCTTCATTAACAATTTTAAAAAATCATGATTAAGTACTATCCGATCGGCAAAATAGAAACAAGGAGTGCTGAAACAGCATGTAGCAAGGACTATAAGAAATTTACTACTAATTAAAAGTCTAACGAATCATATACATATTTAATATGTTTACAATGTAATATATATCGGCACATCATCATCATCATCATTTACCCCTGGATATCTGTTGCTAGAGTTATACTGTCTTTAATGGTGTTGATCGCGTCTTCGATGTATAGATTAAAAAGAAGCGGTGATAGTGTGCATCTCTGCCTGACTCCCTTCCTAATATCTACTTATCTACGTTGCAAATCTACCTCTATAACTGCCTGTAACTCATCCCTACATTTTTAAGTATATTTAACATCTTGTTCCATTTAACATTGTCAAATCTAAATTTACAAATCCTATGTACGCATTCTTTCCTTTTTCTATCGTTTTCTCTATTTATTACTGGAACGATAAATCTACCAACCCGTACACCTACCACAAAAAAGAGAAAGATACCCTTGTCTTTCTTGGCTACTTGCAGGTATGGAACACTGCATATTATAAGAATTGTGCATCTTTCTCTTTATTTAAACAGTTTGTCTCTGTCTTTTATTACTTGTTAATGCCACTATAATTTATTTAAAGTTCATGAAACAGTCGGTAGTATACTAAAAAATGAAAGTCAAACTCTACAAACTAACAGAGAGAATGATGCACAAATTTTATAAAGTACCGGCAGTGTTCGTTACCTGCGGCTAGCCAAGAAAGAAAAGTGTATCTTTCTCTTCCTTGTGGCAAGTTAAAAGATTTATTGTTCTAGTATTATTACAATAAAGTAAACAATTTACAGTTTTGACATTATAATCCAAAACCGGCAAAATGAAACTGAATCAACATATCGAGATATTGATATATTTTATAGAATCAGAAGAGATTTTTGTTTCTCGGTTTGGAAGAAGCAATTCTTATAATACGATTGCCAATATTATAACGTAATTGTTACCTAGTATTTCCTCCTTTCTGTTTTTTGTAATTATCAAGAAGTTCTCTCCACTGGTAAATCATATCGTAAGTCTCCGGTAAATCCTTAATATAAATGCGTGATAGATACATGTACTCGTAAGGCTTGTACTTTTCGTGATTATCGGAGAGTGGGGCATCTCTAAAAGCAGCATCTTCGAATAGAAAGGGAGCTGCATCAATTCTGAACCCATCTACACCCTTATCTAACCAAAAGATTAGTACGTCCTTTTAAAAAACGGAATCTGTTTAGATAATTAATTTTGAACAAAAATGTTTGATGTTACAGAAGGATGACGAAGGCACTGCCGACAGGGAAGGTTAGGAGAACAGGGGGCGCTATGGTAAGTCAATTGGAAATAAGTAGGATAGTAGTAGTAGGACATCATCTCATACATAAAGGGCTAGTCAGAGGCATATTAAAAGCAAAAACAGGAGTTCAGAGGGGCTAAAGACTTTATTGTGATGATGATGTTCGAAATTAGAAATGGTTTTATATTTTGTAGCAACTATTTCGGACGTCCTAATAAGAAATAGGTAATGAATAATGATGTAATGTAATGTTATTCGTACTTTCCATGATGATAATGATAAAACTAAAAAGAATTACTTACTTTCATTTCTTGTACAACTTTAGGGTTTCTGAAGTTTAACTCAGGTTGAGCGGTGGTAAATAGATGGTAGTAAAATTGGTCCCTCTCGGCTACGTATTCCCAAGTAGAATATTTGAACATACCCAACTTTATGAAAATAGAAATTTAATTATGAGCTATTGGATTCTTGTTAAACTGATTATCTAATCGAATAGTACTTACTAGCCGTTAAATTTAAAAGCCTATTTATGAAATAACAATTAGATATTAACGCAACC